TATCTAATCCTTAAAAGATTTTAGGGTTACCTCTTCAGAGGGGGGAATGTTAGAGTAGCAAAAAGCCCCATAAAAAATTTAAAGAAGAAGAAAGAGTACATGAAGTTATCAGAAAAAAAGTGATGGGGGGATATGGGAGGAGTTGGAGGGGAGAGAGTGGGCACAGATTTGATCAAAACACCTTATGCATGTATGAAATTCTCAATACATGCATCTTTAAAAAAAGAATACATTTGGGGGCTGGAGAGATTCAGTAGTAAAGAGCACTAGCTGCTCTTGCAGAGGACCCAAGTGCAAATCCCAGCACCCACATGGTGGCTAACGCCAGTTCCAGGGGACTTTTATGCCTTCTTCTGACCTCTGCAGGCACTGCATGACATGGGTGCCCTTACATTCATGCAGGCAACACATTCATACACATAAAATGCTCAGGCATTTGCTACTTTTATTTATTCTCATTTTTGTTTTTTTGAGTCAGGGTGTCCTTGCAGCCCCAGCTGGCCTGAAAGTTGCTATGTAAATCAGGCTGGTTTCATCTCACAGAGATCTGTCACTAGGCTAGGTATATGTATATAAAAAAACTTGTTTTTATGTGTTTTGCCTGTGTGTCTCCAAGTATACCAGTGTGTGCAAATGCCTGGGGAGGCCAGAAAAAGGTGCTGGGTCCCCAGAACGAGAGTTATGGATGACCGTTAGCTGCCATGTGGGTGCTGGGCACTCTGGAAAAGTAGTGTTTTTAATTGCTGAGTTCTATCTCCAGCTCCCCATTCACTACTTTAAAAATATTTTACTCATTACTGTTATGTGTACGAGTGTACTGACTACATGTATGTAAGTGGTGTTGTGCAATGCCTGTGGAGGTCAGAAGAGGATGTCGAGTTCCTTGGAACTGGAGTTACAAATGGTTGTTAACGGCCATGTGGGTGCTGGGACTGAACTCGGGTCCACTGCAAGAGCAGTCAGTGCTCCTAACCACTGAACCATCTCTCCAGCTCCTCCACACCCATTTGCTACTTTAAAAGATGGATTCTGTGCCATTTAAAAATATGAAGCCCCACCACCCCAACTATGACTTCCAAAATTTCTAGCAAAAATAGATGAATAAATACTTTTATTATCAAAGAAGATAGCAAAGTAGTTCTATTTCTTTTTCCTTGAGGAAAGTGAGGACCCTGGTGAGTCTCAGGATTCTTTCCCTCCCCTACACTTTGGGTCTCATTTTCCTTACTATATGGATAATGAGCCTGGTATAAACCAGACATATGTAACTCCTCCTTTCCACAAAAACTTTTTTTCTTTTGAACCTATTTGGTAGAAGTCCTAATATATATAACTAACAGCAGTGATTTTGGGTACCCCAAAACAGTTTGAAACAGCTGGAATGAATGGGGGATTTTTAAGGTCTGTTCCCTGGTTTTTAGGCCAAGTCTTAAACTCTGAATTTACGACTGAGAAAAGTATTAAATTATATGCACGCTCAAGGTTATGTAGATTTGTTTTTATGAAATATTGTTGGTAGAATCTCTGATTTACTAATGGCCAAATCAGAAACAATCTTCAATTAAAAATGTTTCTTTATAAGAAAACATAATTCACTTTATTAAACAGTTTTCAGGAGAAAGATGATTGAAGCCAGGTTCAGATCTCTGAATGATTCCAACAGGTAAACAGTACCCAGGGAATGAAGTTGAGATCCTCATCTTGGAGAAAGCAGTTAATTCTGATAAAACAAGCTGATTTTACGTAACAAGAGAGAATTATTTACACATGATGCTTTCAAGTTAGAATAATCACTTCAATCTCATATTTCAAATACAAAGTATATTATTAAATTATTAAGTATTTAAATAATTTTATGAGAACCTACAAGC